AGGAGAAGGACGAATGAATTAGGTTTCCATTTTCCAAGGCTGGCAAGCTATCGTTTGCGTCATTTTCTTGTTCTGCAAACCCACTCCGGAGTAGCTGCCGTGCTGGCCATCGCAAGCGGGGATCGGGCAAAGTCATGTTCTCAATGTCCTGGCAAATGTGCCAGCGCTTTTCCCCGATTGAGAACTGAAGCTGAACATTGTGGAGGCCGTGATGGCCGATTTCGATTCCAGAGAAGAGCTCCATGCCCATGCCACCAAGGGCCCAAATATCAGATTCACGGCCGCAAATGCCGCGTTCCATAACCTCGGGCGCCAAATAATTCTTGTCGTACGTACGCAAAAACTCTGCGTCAGACGTAGTGTCAACGGCGACTTTGATGTGTATGGGGTCTCGCCTCTGCACAATAACAGTGTCTAGTCGAAGACCTCGACACGCAGTGCGTCTTCCATGCAGGTAGCACAGAGCATCTAGGGCCTGCTTCGCAAATTTTTTGTACTCTAGCACGCTGAGGATATGGTTTATGTGATTCTGACGGAGACTAGGCTCTTGTATATACTCCAGAGAAATCTCTGGGAGAGTGGCATACTCGTTCAAGGAATACAGCTTAACGATATGGTGCTGTCAGATCAAAATTAGATTCAAAGTCGTTTCATTAGCCAAGAGCGCCCGGCAAGGTACTTGCATGATGGCATTTGCGAAGGAGGACGACAACCTCCTTCTTTATATCCTCGATACTCTGGTATTCTTTGGCCACATAAGTAAAATGTGTAGACTTGTTCAAGACGCGATAAAGCCGGCATCTGCCGCTGCCGGCACCAGAGTAACCATCAAGGGGATGGTATTCCAAGGACCGTTGGGTCGAGGAGGGCCCGGCGCTCAGTGCAAGGCCTCTGAGAGGGGCAACTTGGTTGGAGAAGTCGTCGTAGTGTTTTGACCACGCCTTGATGAAGTCCCCGTAGTGGTGTGAATGGTTGACGGCGACCAAATTAATGCCCAGAGAGTGAATTTGAATCCCTACGCTCTTTTCTTTTCCGTCGAGGCTTTGGCCCTGGAATGCTCGCCGACGCCTAACACCCACATAGCCATCCGAATCGAGCTGTATCAGAGTACGGCGTTTGGATAGGACCTTGATCTCGAATGATTCTGGTTCTTGCTTCATCTGTACGGCAAAATGCCGATCCTCTATGCCTGTTTTATCGTCCCTGTCCAGAGAAACGTCGCAATCCACGCCAGTGCCAAATACGACGCCGCAGCTGTGATTCTTGGCCAAGTATTGCATATCGATACGCAAATGAGGTTGCTTGACAGCTCGGTAAGCTTGCGGAGTGGCTTCTCGCGGCCCAGAATCGCCCTCGAGGCTCGGATGCTGGGTCAAACACATCGGTAGTGAAGCTGAGAGGCTCGTCGACCACGGCGAATGGCTTGTTGTGCTCACTGTCAAGAAGTCTGTCATCAGTCACGTAGATCTCAAGCAGGTGCGTAATGTCGGGGGCCATTTTGTAAACAGATTTGGACGAAATGTTGATGTGACAGACGTATCGCCTGCCGCAGGGCGCCTGAGCCGCCGGGCGATTTATTGAGAGCATGATTGTATCCAATCGGGCGCAGTCCCGGCCGATTGACTGCTGATAGCCGCCTGCTTCCGGCGGCTAGCTGAACATTGAAACGCCTGCCTTGGACTCGGCATCCAGCCAGCTGCTTCTTCACACTATCAATTGAGTGAGTCTTGGCGGCCCGATGCGCATTGCTTGTTATCGACATGCCGTCAACTGGTGCGATTTGAACCGTTGATACTTTGCTGGCCCAAATGCAGCACGCCCATGTTGGTCGTGCAAGTCGCAACACCACAGCACAACTCAAGCCTCGATAGAAATGCAGGTCTCAACTCGGCACTAAATTAACCATATAATCAAGGTTCAATTACTAGAAAGCCACGCCAAGAAGTAATCAAGTCGAATGTTGGGATTCGCGTGGTATAATAGTAAATTGACTCGCCTAGCATCACAATCTTCGCGGGAAGCTATAGAAAAGCAATGAAAGCCCCCAACTCTGATTACCGCATGGCACAAATTTCCTGAAAATGATGTGGGGTTTTTGAAGCCTATTTCCATCCCGGAGTCAGCTACCGAGTCACCATTCCCCAGCGCGGAGCAGTGTCCATCTTCAAAGGCAGCAGCCCAGGTCGTGGGCACCTTCTTTCGTGCTCAACACCTTGGTGGAAGTTCGTTTACGCTGCAAAGTCCGTCGTAGCCGAGTTCTCTGCTACCAGCACCCCGGCCCTCGCAACAGTCCACCATGGCCCCAATATTGACGCCGTTGCCACCACAAAGATTATTGGATATGCAGATGTGAGAGCTCTCTTCAAAGTGTTGCTGGCCGCCTACTGCCGCGCAACAATCCTTTGTTACTCGATAGTCAATGCAGCCCTGGGCCTTGTCCAGACAGACTTCGGCATACCCAGCCATGGTGCCCTTGAGGAACACTAGTGCGATGGCTATAATTGAGGTCTGCATTGCGATAACTACCTTGTTGGTTAATACAAAAGGACTTGAAAGGTTATCAAAGATTCTTACAGTGTGTCTTTCTCGATAGACGAGGTAATTGATGGTCATTCGAATATTGGGAAAACTGGCTGTTGAGTGAACGAGTTTGGCGTTTAGAATCTCAAGAGGCAGCTTCCCTATTCATGTTTCGAACGTCCACGGAGAGTCTCGGCATCTAATTGTCACCAGTCGACTCTGTGTCTGTGTGTCTGTGTAGTTGACCATTCACAAATACGGCCCGTCCTTGCTTTTGCACCCGTAGACGTAATGCTTTCCAGTGCGAATAGCATCAAGACAATACACATCATGCCTCATGCATGCAGGTTTCAGTTGTGTCGTCGGGAAGTGCTCATTGGAGAATGCTCGACATTTCTGGTTGGGGCTCAGAGTGGCCAGGGCTCTGCATGCTTTTTCCAGGAAGCCACCAGCCCTCGTATATAAAGATGGTATGTGATGCTGTCAGATGGCGGCCCGAGCACAAAGACCGTCGGCCCATGGGTCGCTGCATGCAAGCAATAATTAGTAGACCGTTGGGCGTAGTCAACCAACACTGCCCTGCTTCACCCGGCTATGTGAAAGTGTACCGAGAATTAACGTGGCTTTTCAACCAGGATTCTTATGAGTCTTTGGCACTGTATTGCAAAATAGGTACGCGTCGCCGCATGGTTTAAAAGACCAAAGTTCCTGATACCATCGCAACACTTTGGCAGCGCAACAAGTGTCTTCCGCGGCTTGTCCACCCACCAATTTGATAAAGCAGCAAGCCTGACGACCGATCACAATGTGCGACGCCAACACTTGCGCACCTTGGCAACTGTAGTCATAATCTGTACTACCAAACGATTTTGATGCCCTTTCATGCACCCACTCGAAGCGGTGCCGGGATGGGTGTCGACAATGGCTTGAGCACGTCCGCTTTTGCATTCTTCCAACAAGTCGGACTTGATGGGCAAAGTCTCAGTCGTACAATACTTGCGAGGCCAAGCCAAGAAACATGCCTAATCCATGTATCGTGTTGAAGCAACACAGCCGACGAGTGGTGGCGCTGCTGTGGGCTTGACCCGAGGTTGGCCGGTTGGAACGAGCTATTACAATTGTGATATTTTGAACAAAATAAAGGGCTTCAACGGCGCAAGAAAAGGCCGAGGCCTCGTTGTAAGGTTTGCGTTCCCCCCCACAGAGGCCATGCCTTGGTGCCGTTGTACGATCTAAGCTCCTCGACGACCAACTGAAATGTGACAGTCCGTGAGTAGATGTCGGGCCTACACAGTAATGCCGAAGCCAAGGCCGGCCGGGTCACTCGACGGGGAATCTGTCGACTAGGGGCCGATGTGCCATGGTGATCTCATCAACTGCGGAATGGACCAGCACCGTCATGACTTGGCGTGCTTGAACCTTTTGTTCCAACATTGGTCCTATCCGTGCTCCTATTCTTTCGCCACTGCATGGACCCTCCATGGCGAACCACATCACGGAGCCGCTTAATCAACTCTCGCGCGAGCCTTGGTACGGGCGCGGCAATGTGACGCTTCGCATGCCTTGTTCGATAATGTGGTCACTCTGTCGCAAACTGCTCTTCGTGCTGGCGGGCATCTTGATCCCGGCCTTTGTTGTTCTTTTTTTTCAGAGCGGCAAGGCATCGGTCTGGCCGCCTTCGCAGGGCGTAGTCGACGACCCTCGTAATTGGAGAGTGATTCAGAATATATGAAACTGAAAGAGAGAAAAAAAATGAAACACCAGGTTGCATTTTAAGCCAAGACCCACCCAGGCATAGTCTTGTGATTTACACTCGAAACTGTTAGCATAATGCCACAGAAACGCTGAATTATCTAGCAAACCACTTTTATCTACCTGAAAAATTCAAAAAGTAGTTCTTTTTTCAAGCGCGTGATCCTCCTCTTTGCGTGAATGCCTTCCGTTCAGGGCACAAAGGCAATACAGTGACCAGTTAGTGTTGGCAGTAGAGTCATGCCAGCTCAAGGCTAGCTTAGCAGAGAAATAGGACAGTAAGGCGCATTCTAAAGCTTTAATCTTAAGTCCAGTCTAATACATGTACATGAGTTCTAGTTCTTTGTGTAGTCAACAGTGTCGCAGTCAAGCGGCTGGGGATTTGGAGTTTTGCTAGTGTCTATTTTCAACATCGGCTCTTTCACTCTGCTTTTCAAGTGGGCAAGACTGACTTATATCCGCTTGAATCATTAATAACAAGATATTACACCCATATCCAACCAGATTCGCCTGGGTACGGCTAGTTACTCGGACCCGAGAGGACGCGCACCTTCAGCTGCGATGGACCAGTTGATCCCTTTCCATCGTATTGCATGACACCGTCATCTCCGTGTCAAGCACGCAGCCGCATCGTCCAGCATGCGACGCAGCGATGGTTGAAGCCCATCATGGCATCTCCACTCTACACTCTATTGTCATCAGACGGCAAAGTCTGCTGGGAGATGCGTTCACGTCCCGAGGCTCTCCGCCCACCGTTGCCCAGCCGTGTCCACTACATAATACTCGTCATTGTATCCCCTTTCGACGGCGGCAATCTGCAACGCAAGCACCTTTGAGTACTGCCTAGCCCAGCTAATGGCCCCGGACATGCACCAAATACCAGGGACGCCGCTGGGCCGCCACCACTATCAAACAGCAAGTGTTAGTGGTGACTTTGCACAATGCAAGACGGGCCAGCAGGGACAGACGACACTTACCCCTTTGCGCTCGGACTCTTCATCAAGATGTCCCCATTCCTGGGCATTGGCCTTGCTGGCCAGGTCCCTCCCGAGGAGCCGTTCGACAACGTTGCCGTTGCGCTCCCAGCCGGTCGCCAGGACAATCACGTCCGAGTCAAGATTCCTGCCGTCGGCCAGCTCAATGCCGTGGTCGTAGAATGCGCCGAGTCCTTCCTTGGACCTGTGGACCTTTATCCTCCCGGCCACAATCAGCCGGGCCGCGCCTTGGTCAATGTAAAAGTGGCCAGACTTGAGGATCAGGAGATCCAGCAGGCTGATGCCGTCTTTGCCCTTCCTGATGGCCATGCCGGCCTGTTCCATGCCGTCGATGAGCTCCTTGTCCAGCTGTGCGCACATGGACGTCGTGCCAGAGGCCAGGGTGAGCGTGAGCGCATTGGGCATGGACGTCTCGATGAGATCGGCGTCCTCGACGCTCAGATTGGGGGCTGCCCAGAGGCCGAGGAGCATCTTGTCGGCCGACTCTGGCGTGATAAATAAGCTGGGGCTGCGCTGGATCATGGACACGCTCTTGGCACCGTGGGTGACAAAGTCGTAGGCTATGTCGTGCGCGCTGGTTCCGGCCCCGACAATGGTGACGTTCTTGCTCGCGAGGTTGGACACGCCTGATGCCGATTTGTGCTGAGACGAGTGGTACATCTGGCCCCGGAAGGCATCTTGGCCCGGGATGTCCAGTTGGACGGGCTGGTCGCTGTTGAGACCTGTAGAGAGAACGACATGCCTGGCCTTGATGGTGTATGAGATCCCGTTCGTCTCCAGCTCGATGATATAGCTGGGCCCTCCGTCCTCGCGTACAACGCTCTTGACCGCCGTGCTCGTGCGCGTCTTGAGATTCATGATTCTGCTGTAGCACTCCATCCATTCGCCATATTGGTCCTTGGTCATGTTTCTGGGCCAGTTGGTAGGGTACCGCAGGAATGGGAGGTTGTCCATGGACGAGGGCGTGTGAGTCTTGAGAATGTCATAACGGTTGCGCCACGAGTCGCCGACCCTGGGATTCTTTTCTACCAGCAAGTAACGGAGTCCCATGTGTTCCAGCTGGGCGGCAAAACACAAACCGCATTGGCCTGAGGACGGTCCCTCTTCAGTAGCATATAAAGTGGGAGAGGGGGATGAAGCTCACCGGCGCCGACAATCAGGACCTGCAGCTCGTCTGACTCTGACTTTGTCGATCCATTCGCATTAGCAATCCCGTCTTGCTTTGCGTCTCGCATCTCTTTTAGCCGTTCCAGCTCCGTGGAAACGGTCCAGGCCTTCCACTCGCCGGGTCCCGTGTTGGCCAGGCGAACGATCCCGCGTCCCGAGCCAAACTTGGTCGTAAAGGTGAAGCCCGCCTGGATAAAGGTTGCAGGCCCCAGCTGCTCCAGCTTCGGGCCCAGCAAAGCCGTTTGCAAGACCGTCATCTGGCCCAGCCCGGAAGTTGACCCCAGGACATGCGCGCTGATGGCCGAGGGACCGTACTTGGATGTCATGTTCCAGGTCAGGGCCACAAGGTCGCGCCACCACGATTCCTGGACAAACAGGCTCTCAAAGGCTGCGACACTTTTCTTTTCGATGGCCTCGGCAAGAGAGGCGATCCATTTCTTCACGACCTCGCCAGCCTTGATACTTTTACGGGCGGTTGATGCGTCAAGGCAAAGAGGCGGCAGCGCAGTCCGTGGGGGATATGTGGCAAATCCCTCGGCGGTTGCCGGCATCGAAAGAGACATTGTCTGTTGGCGAGAATAAGTGAGAAACGAGAAGCCAAGTCCAAGAATTGCGGACGGTTGCTAGTTTTAACCTGCAGCTCAGGGAACTCAAAGTTGTTGGACATTGTTGTGTAGACGTCGAGACGTGCGGAGTATAGAAACCCGAATGCGGTCCCGTAAACGCTGTGTAACCGTCGCATATCGATACTCGGCAACGCGTAGTAAGCTCCGTGGATCCCGTCTCAAACTCCTCCGCAAGCGTGTAATCATCGACTGATATTGTGACACAAGATCCTCCGGGGATTGAGGTCAAGGCAGCGGTCGGAGTGGAGTAGTAGATATGCTTGTTCTCCGCGAGGCGATGTGACAGTGTGCCGTGAATTTCTGGCTCAAGCGGAGCTAGACTTGAGAGCTAAAATCGGAACGGAGTGGTTTGGTGAAGCATAATTCAACCCCGTCGACGCCTATCGAGCAACACCAGGGTTTCGGAGACTCTTGTCCGGGCGTGACAAACTTGGACGAGGTCACCGTCCTGACCAATGCTAAACTTGGTTTTGTTTTCTCCTACTACGTTTGTTCTCAATGACTATACATCTTGTGTCCCTCGGTATACGGTTACAAGATTTGGATGCAACGGCAAACGGCACTCGAGATGGCGTATAGTGGCAAATCAGCCGTAGAGAGGACGCGGCGTACCTGGATACGACCTTGTTCATGGTGGTCACATGGACTTCATCTTCGACGGATATGCAGGGAGGAGGCATGTGGCCCATCTCCAATGTGACGAGGGAGTTGCCGTTCCGTGTCCGCAGCATTGCCTCGGCGGGTTTGCTTTTATTTTCTTTGGTTTTCTTCCTCTCTTACGTCAAAGTGTCCGCTTCTGTGTGAAGATGATGATCAATACACATCCGTTCTGACATTGTGCCAGACAAATCATTGCCGATTTGACAATGCCCCGGCTACAAGTTTCTTATGCAGACGTTGGCATCATGTCCGAGAACCAACACCAGGATGGATTGGCAACCTCTTATTATTTTAATGAAGCCGTCTGCTCTTTTTTAAAGGGATCCAAACAGATTCTGAACCCTTTGACAAACGAGCTGTGCTCACACTCATCATGCCCGCCGTCTCGGAGGTGTTTATCCCTGCGTCGCTCTTCGATGCCAACAACGCAACCATTCCATGGGTATATCCAAGCGAAATCGTCGAGTTTGCCCAACGGCTTCGGCTTCGTGGCATACAAGTCGATGAGACGCAGGGCAATGGCTTGCCACCCGACGCCCAGATGCATGACCGCGCGGCCACCATTCCCGCTGTTGTCGTGTCCCCAAGAGGCGAATGGGGCATTGTACAGGCTTTGAAAGCCATGAAAGACCTGGATCTCTACAACAAGATGCCCGTCTCGGTCAAGAGCGGAGGCCACGGCTACTTCAACGGAGCGACCTGCGCCGGCATCATGCTGAACCTGGTACACATGACGGACAGCCGCGTCGACGGCGACGTCCTCACGCTGGGACCGGGATGTGTCTTGGGCCAAACCATTGACATTCTGGCCAGGCACGGCAAGGCTGTCCCGCACGGCGACTGCTACGGCGTCGGGGCCGGCGGCCACTTCACCACGGCAGGCTGGGACCTCCTCCTGACGCGCCGCTACGGGATCGGCTGCCAGTCCGTCGTCGGCGGGCGCGTCGTCCTCTGGGACGGGACCGTCCTGGACGTGGACGAGAGCAGCCACCCCGAGCTTCTGTACGCGATGCGCGGCGGCGCCGCTGCCGGCGTGGGAGTCGTCTCCGAGATCCGGCTCCGCGTCATGGACGAGCCAGCCCGCGCAACATGGCGCCTCACGCCGCTTACCAAGGCGCAGCTGCAGCAGTGCGTGGCCAGCCGCGTCTTCTCAAGGGCCGTGTCGCTCCCAGAAGACGTGACCGTGTCCTTTCGCTTCTTCTTTGAGCCGCATCAGGAGGAGCCCGTGTGCTCCTTCAACATCTTTAGTCTCCTGACGGTGGCCGAAACCATCAAGCACCTGCATCAGCACCTCGGCGCCGAGGCTGCGTCGCTGGTTGACGACGCGGCTCTGTGGAACGAAAGGAAACTGCTGGACCTCCGCCTGCTCCCGGCATCGAGCATGTTGTCTGCCGACCCCGGCATGCTCTCGGAGCTCTCGTCCACCAGGCTGCACGACAGCCCGCATCTCTTCTGGAACAGGGGCATGGTGCAGCGGGAGATGGGCAGCTCGTTCCTGGAGACGTCGTCGCACTGGGTCAGGACGGACTGCGAGGCCATGCTGCCCGAGGTGTACGCGCGGCTCGAGGCCGTCAAGCACTCGCCGATGCGTGAGAGGATGTACGTCTTCCTTGTCCTCGGGGGAGGCGAGAGCCTGCGGCGACAGCGCGACTGCGCCATGCCCCTGGGCAGGGCTTTGGCGAGGTTCGAGCTCCATTGGGACCACGAGCAGGACGCAGACGAGTGCCGCACTTTTGCAGGCACCGTTTCCGACGTGCTGCGCTCTCAGGAAGACGCCGGCGTTGACCGGCCGTTCAGGGGCGACATTTGGCGGCAGGATCAGGCATACAGCGAGCATGATTGCTTGCATGCCATCTCGAGACGGTTTGATAGGCGTCGGGGCAGAGGACCACGCGACATGAGGTTGTGATTGACGCAATAAACAGCATCGGAGGCACATGGACGTCGTG